TATGTATGATCATCTCGCAACCCCTTCGGATTTTGGGTTCGAAAGCTTAGAATTTAAGTTTTTTACTTATTTCATAAGTAACTAATATAATTAACTCATGATCAACTCGCTCTTTTCCCAGTAACTGGGTTAGAAAGCATGGAATGTAGGTTAAGATGTTACTGATTTTTCACGGTTTTGTCCATGTAGCCTATTTTAATCCAATAAATAAACATCCTTGAAACAATAATAAACTCATGTTGTTTAGTAAAAAGCATAAGTACGTAAGAAAATTAAAAAAACAAAAAAAAAGCATAAGTAGTCACACGCCAAAGATGCTAAAAGGCCAATTTCGGGTTATGGTAGAGTTTTATTTAAACTTATACCGTTGACCTACTGTTTTTATGCTCGGAATATATTGCTTGAACAAAACACTATACATATCAACCTTGTATAAAATAATATTACATAGAAGCGAGTGAAATTGTAAGAAAAATCCCATTAGATCCAATGTTAAAACAAACATATTTTTTATTTCTCAAAGTAAAAAAATTTTGTCAATGGCATGGAGTGGCATAGTATCAATTTTGATTTCAAAGGGGATGGCAAGTCATAGAACTTTGAGACTTCCTTTAGATCTTATTAATATAGAGTGCCTTTTTAGAATTCGATTTGGAAAAAAAATTCAGAGAAGTTAATTTAATTATTTGGGATGAGGCTTCAATAATTATACAAAAAGCATTGGAAATAGTAGACAGATCATTAAGAGGTTTATGTAATACTTAAAAATATTTTGGAAATACATGATTTATTTTAGGAGGTGATTTTCGTCAAATCCTCCCAGTGATAAAAAACAGTAACAAAAAAATTATAATCGAATGTATTATTAAGTCTTCCTTTACATGGAATTCATTCGAAATTTTAAAATTAGAAATCTATCTTCGTTCTAACCATAAAGGATTTTTTTAATTATCATTGGACATTGGGAAAAAGGAAAGAGAAACTTTTAATATTCCTTAAAATTGGATATCAAATGATGTATGTTTTCAAATATTTTCTGATACTTATAGTTGTTCGATGAATAGTGTTATACTAACATCATCGCATAACGATGATATTAATAATATTAATTATTTTATAGCACGTATATGTCGAGGGTAATGCATGCAAAACAGTTGCTTGCGCTGCCGCATGCTCACTCTTCCCTTACTGCACTCTACATTTCCCCGCTGACGGTCACAAACGTCCTTAAGAAAGAAAAAATGAATCAGTAGTACCTAAGTCCAAGTATAACTGGTTATAAAATAATAATATTTATCTGTATNATGCAAAACAGTTGCTTGCGCTGCCGCATGCTCACTCTTCCCTTACTGCACTCTACATTTCCCCGCTGACGGTCACAAACGTCCTTAAGAAAGAAAAAATGAATCAGTAGTACCTAAGTCCAAGTATAACTGGTTATAAAATAATAATATTTATCTGTATTGTTATTGAAACGTATGCGAGAAATGTTTTATGGGTATAAAAAAGATTTATTTACAAATTCTTTAACAAATTGTAATTGCTATTTTACAGTAAGTAGAAGTGAAAATAACATTACAATGTATGTAGGTATTTATATTTATATGTGTGCAATGTACTCCACGGTTATTAAGAAATGTAACAAATATGATCTTAATAAATTGTATTTTTTTATGTGTTTTCGTTACATCTGTAGAACCGCAGGCAGAACGAGTTCACGTCTCCAGATCAATTTGACAAGGAAAAAAAACTGATGGAGACAAGATGAGTGATAACGAGTAACCTAGGTGGGCACAGGATATCCGAAAAAGATCGAGTGCAAACACTGATTTCAGTTTATAAACAGTGATGTCTTGTTAGTGTATATCATATGTAAAACAAAGAATTGAAAAAAACAATTTTACAGATTGACAGTTGGTCGCAAAAGTTCTTCTTAAGTTTAACAGAATTTCTAATATTTATTCTGCGATCGTAATGAAGAATAAACATCGACCAATTTCCTAGAATTTACTTGTGTTAATCTATTTCGATATATGTTATGGACGTAAGTCCATTGTGAAAAGTATGCTTCTAACTGAGCTGTAGAAGCTGGTATTAGAAGTAACTTTATAGCATACTTCGCCAAGTTAGGAAAAAAGGCTTTACTCAACTTCCAGTAGACAATGGGTTTGCGACATCTCGCTTGCAAAGGTAACAATTCTTCTTTATTTTCTAAGTATTCATGAAGTTCTTCTAGTGTCTGAGAGTCCATAGTGTTTCTAAAAAACTGGTACGCCTTTTGGTTTTGCTCCGGACTCAACAGACTCCCAGCATACTTATGGTGTAGAACATAGGCTGCAAAATCAACTGGTTTCAAAGCTCTTAAAATTCTATCCTTTAACAATTCTTGTTGTTGAATATTATGTAACCTTAAAGAAAGCCACAACTGAACAGTATCAGCTGCATTGCATACAGGATCTTGAGCTTTATAAATCAATTTGCACACTGGCTCTAATAAATCGATTAGGTCTGTTAGCTGAGTTGTAAACACATCGTTATTAATAATGTTTAAAACAGAAGCCTTAATGTTAACATTTTCTAATGTTGATATTTTTATAAGTATGTCGATGTTATTTAAAATACTAACTGCACTATCACGTAGATAAGCAAACCGGGTATCCGGGTAGTTACGTAGCAGTGTACCCCCATACTTAATTACTAATGAATCAAGTTTCGGTTCGCGGAAAGCATGAATAACTTCTCTCATATTATCTGAAAAAGTGGAGGGAACTAAACTTTTTAATAACAAGTTTGCACTATGACTAGCACAAGTTGAGTGCCATAAGGTTTCACCAGCAGAACTTTCGGCTAATCGACCTCCTCTTAAGATTTTGGCATCATTATCTGATTTAATGGCAAACACATCAGTTTCGTAAAATTCTTTAGCGTAATCAATGGCATCAACCATAACTTCAGAAAGGTATTCTCCATCTTCGCGCTCCAAAGAAGCATCATATGCTTTCAAAAACGTGTGAGAAATGTTTTCGTTGCGCAGGCTGCAAACAACTATTTTGCGGTTTATCGTAGAATTTTTCCAACCATCTATTAATAGGACACTATCAGTGCCTCTTAATTTTTTTTTTCTATCATTAACTATCTTCTCATGCAGCTCATTGACACATGTACTGGCCAAAGTTTGACGACATGGAGGTTTGTACTTTGTAATTTTTGTTTTGCGGAGAGCTTCAACAAAATTTAGAAAGTACTTATCTTCTACAACCCTGTAAGGGATGTTACATGCGCAGAAAAATTCTGTTAATTTTTCATTCAAATCTTCTACTGTTAATTCTTCATCGTCGTGCAGAAACAGTTCTTCCTAAGGAAATAAAATAAAAATTACAATTAGAATTTAAAATAATCTTTAAAGAGTAATAGTTATTGATATGAGTACTAGTAAATGAGATTAAACATGTGACCGTAGGTCATATTTCTACAAAATGCAATTATTAAACAATCTTTATAAAATTGGCACCCTTACCTCAACTACTGCTTAGTCTACTTTACTCGATTGGTAAGTTCATTGGTTAGAATTTATGAGGGCTGTAGGTGGGTTATTTCGAGACCTACCAAAATAGCCACACACACACACAGACACGCCGCATTCATACACACATACACGCACACATACGTATATGTAATGGCTTTTGGTATATTGAAAAATCATAAATGTAAAAATTCAATTTATTTCAGTATTCCTTGCCAAGTATAAAAATGAATTTAACTAATTATTATATTTCATGCTAGTATTAATTACGTAATTTTTATTGTTAATTTTTATGTATACATTTTTATTGACATATTATACAATAAAGAAACACTTTCATCAAAATTCTGAAATAAATGGAATAATCTCCAAAAGATCATGAAACATGTTTTTTTAAATTTGTATTAAATGAAGTAACTGGATTGACATCGTTCAAAGATATAAGAACATATAAAGAAATAACATATAAAACGTTTAAAGATACTGTAATTTCAATGGGTGTATAAGATAATGATGCAAAAATAAATGACATTTTTAAAGAAGCAATTGCTCTTATGTTTCCATGTTAATTAAAACAATCTTTTGCTTGGTTTTTAATTTCAGAAAACATTTAAGGTGATAAATATAAATAATTTGTCCCGGAAGATTTGCCTGATAGTACAGATCGATAATTTACCTCTTCTACATATTAACCAAATTTTAGAATCAGAAAATAAATCATGTAAATACTTTAATTTACCTACACCAAAAAAATTGGAGAGTAAAAAAAATAATCTAGATGAAGAAATANTGTAATAGCTGTAGTCGATAGAGAACAGTAAGAGTCAAATCATCCAAAAAAAAAAGTGAGATAGTCATTTATAGCAATAGATTAAAAATAGTATGAAAATTTCTATATAAATTATCAGTACAACTTTAAGATAAACAGAAATGAATGGTCTCACCTGACTATTAGTAGTAGATTGACCAATACCTACAGCCTCCCCAATTTCACTCAAGTGCATGTTGTCAGTTACAATTCTCTTACACCGAGATCTGAAAAATTTTATTCCTTTTAAGCAGTGACAAATGTTGAAAAATGAAATAATTAGAAAAATCAAACCTATGTTCGTTCAGCTTATCTATGCTAAGCTGTTGAAGAACCTTCTCGCAGACTTTGCATCTAGCAGCTATAACATTATGTGACTTATCTCGTAGTGGAATAAAGCCAAGCTTCCAGTCATTGCAGGTTTTATCAATCATGATCAGCAGAGTATTTAGACCATTAAACAACTCTTAACTAGGATATCTGCTGTAAAAAAAGGAAGGTTTAGTGGACAATCATATCTTCCATTGAGATGACTATGTATGACTGACTGAGAGATTACTCACTGATGACAAAATACTCATATATTCACTGAACTACATTATTTGAATCCTTCTAATTTATAAATTCTATAAATAATCCACTATAATTGAGAAAAAGCCACGAAAATATGAATAACAATAACAAAAAAATTATAACCTTACTTAAATATATCTTATTTGGATTAAGACATACAAGCAAGTATAATCAACAAAAACATTATGAGACAAAAGACTACATTTGTTCAAATAACTGGCTCTATTTGAAAATTGTCGCTTGTGTTTTAAATACTTTTATCCTGGAATAACAGTGAGCAAACAAACAATTAAATTTGACACATATATCACAGTAAAACAACATGCACTTCAAACATTATGTTTCTTTGAGAGAAAACAATTTAATTGTAATACCTTTCACAAAAACGTAAATGGCACTATAATTACAGTAGACACAAATATTTTAGAATTCAAAAAATGTAATTAATCATTTAATTATTTTATCATATGATCAGCCTAGAAGCTAGCATCACGTCCATTTCATACGTTAGTGGCCGTCCATTCGTTCTGTCCAGTCCATCGGTCCAGTCTATTAACATCCCTGGGCACGGCTGTGCTTCAATTGCCTCCGACCCGGGCACGCTGTGAAGTACTGCCTCTTCCGGTCGGCTTGCCAATATTGCCGAGAGCAGCATCACAGCTCACTGCACGACGGTGCCCGTCGCCGCCGCTTTGGGCAGCCCGACGGCTCTACATCATCAAAGCAGCCCCGCACGGACCCGCCCACCTCTTCATCGGGAGAGCACCAGGGTTGGTACTGTACTTGTAGTCTACCAAGCCTGCGAACTGTACCTGGTATAGTTGGTATAGTTGGTATTGACACTTTGTGTTGCACGTCTCATCATTATGTATAAATAACAATGCCTTCCAGGGCTCATATATTAGATTATTAGGCCAAAAAGTATTGTGTAACAATAATTAAAGTGATTAATTAATTAATTTCATGCGCTCACACGAAGTCTTGCTGTTTTTGAACTTTTTTACAAGAGAGTAATTTGAAGTCTACAAAAGCAATAAAGTGCTTTGGATTTTTTGTCAAAAAGTAAGTAAACTGAAAATATTATCATCCTTAATTGCAAGTCACCTGTCGTAAATTATGATGTGCTAAATCCTTATAGACTGTCATTTGGTTATTACAAGTAAAAATATTTCTGTTAGTCATATGACTTGTTGAGGTTAAATATTTTGATCATGTATAAACATTATATTTGAAAGCATTTTTACTTAACAAATATATTTATGGGAACATTGCATGACATGTGAAACCAATCATCGCAAAGTAAAGCACATAGCTGGTTGCATGTATACTTGGTAAACTAAAAAGCATAATACATATTTCAGACATACACTTAAAATATTAGCTTTAATTTTTTTAATTTTTGCAGCTTTACTTGTAATTTAACATGGCAAAAGTAATCTATATCTTCATATACATATAGTACCTATGTTTGTATAAACAGACTAATAATGACTATACAGTTTTTTGAATGAACACCATAGCTGTTTAAACTGCACACTGGCAGGATGATTTTATTTATTGTACATTCATGCTAATTTATTAACTTTTGTATGTGACAAGACTCAATACTCATCTAGTATTTTAGACTCAATATTGACATAGTCATAAAAATTATGCTTCAGTTTTTAGATGTATTATTATAGTGTTGCTGTTAAATAGAGTTATCTCAGCTGAGCTAGAGTAAATTAATCTTTAAATGAAATAAAGCAAGAGCCTTACAGAATACTTCTGATTTATTTAATCATTAAATGCCTTTCATCGACAAAAGCAGAAAAACTTTGAACATGCTTTTACACCATGTTAACAATGCCACTTGATTATTGTTTTTTGATTTTGTCGTTAATAGAGACAAATAAGCAAGGATCTGATATTCTTATTTACTTGGCTAGTGTATTATAAACAAATAAAATAATTAGATACTTTTTTTTATCTTAATTCTTCCCCTTTACTTTTTATTGCTTGCAAGCATTAATTTAGATATATCTGTTACAAATTTCTTGTATTATACATTTCAATCACATTATTGGTCCCTATGTTTATTATTGATATCCATTTTCTGTACCTATCTGTCATTTTTTTACTCAGTGTATCGCTAATGTTTGTAACATGTTTGACATTCAATGTTTCTAATAGATCTATTTATAGCAACACATGCATAATTTTTTATTTNTCAATCATGATCAGCAGAGTATTTAGACCATTAAACAACTCTTAACTAGGATATCTGCTATAAAAAAAGGAAGGTTTAGTGGACAATCATATCTTCCTTTGAAAAAATAAAACAAGCCTTCCACGGTCTTCCCCACAAAAAACACACCACCACATAAATGCTTATAGATAAACTTGAAAAACGTGGGGCGCATCTGTACTACTAAACACGTTATAACCCAAGCAGAAATAATTGTATTTGATAAGTCAGTAATAATTATTTCTTAAAATTAGTAGAAAATATAAAAAAAAAAACAGTCTTAATTGTCCATATTTAAAACAAGTAATAAGACTTATTATTCACAATTGTTTGTTACAAGTTATTATTAAAACTTTGTAATACTTATTAATTTTCGGGTTCATAAGCTTAGGATTGATTTGATTTTCGTATTCAATAAGTAATTTAATAAAATTATATGTGATCAACTGTCTGTCCCCTCAGCCTTTGAATTTAAAAGTTTAAAATTAAGGTCATTTTCTTATTTAAATTATGTACAGTCAACTTGATGTCTTCCGCTTTTGGGGTTGAGAAGCTTTGGATGTAGGTTACTTTAGTATTTAATCAATAGTTAATTTAATTATTATATGATCAACATAGGCCCCTTCAGCTTTTGGGTTAAAAAGCTTAGAAAGGAGGTTTTATATTATTTCAATGATAATGTACCAAAGTTACGTATGATCAACTCTCCGCCTCACAGCTTATAATTTAAGAAGCTTAGGATTGAGGTTATTTTACTATTTAGTAAATAATTTATTAAAAATATATATGGCCAAATCTCTGTTCTCCCAGCTTTTGGACTAAAAAGTTGAGGATGTAGATTATTTATTGATTTAATAAATAATTTATTAATGTTTCCCCGACTTTTGGATTAATAAGCTTAAGATTTAAGTTAGTCACATATTCAATCAATAATTTGATAACATTATATGTGGTAAAGTCGCTGTCCCCCAATCTTTTGCGCTAAGAAGCTTAGGATTTAGGTTTGTTTCTTATTTAATTATTAATTGATTAATAATATGTATGATCATCTCGCAACCCCTTCGGATTTTGGGTTCGAAAGCTTAGAATTTAAGTTTTTTACTTATTTCATAAGTAACTAATATAATTAACTCATGATCAACTCGCTCTTTTCCCAGTAACTGGGTTAGAAAGCATGGAATGTAGGTTGAGATGGTACTGATTTTTCACGGTTTTGTCCATGTAGCCTATTTTAATCCAATAAATAAACATCCTTGAAACAATAATAAACTCATGTTGTTTAGTAAAAAGCATAAGTACGTAAGAAAATTAAAAAAACAAAAAAAAAGCATAAGTAGTCACACGCCAAAGATGCTAAAAGGCCAATTTTCGGGTTATGGTAGAGTTTTATTTAAACTTATACCGTTGACCTACTGTTTTTATGCTGGGAATATATTGCTTGAACAAAACACTATACATATCAACCTTGTATAAAATAATATTACATAGAAGCGAGTGAAATTGTAAGAAAAATCCCATTAGATCTAATGTTAAAACAAACATATTTTTCAACATCCATTTTCTTAAAAATAAGGTCGTTCACCATGGTGTTATTTGATGGCATTTAGAAGTGACGTACTTAAAATATGATTCAAAATTTTATTAACTTTTTTATAAATATTTATACAAACTCGCATGAGCCACTTCAATCAGCAACACTAACACATATTATGTGAAGGGTTGTAAACTTGAGATACTTTTTTTTAATTGAAAGACTTTTTGATACGAAAAGTAAGCATTTTTGTTGTCAAGAATTAGTTTGAAACTCACATGACAAGTATTATTTTGTAAAAAAAAAGAAAATAATTGTTTTTCGTTTAAAACAAATTTTTGACATTATCTCTGATGTTATAAAGCAAGTTCTTAAAATTATCCATCGTCGCCTTTATGTTGTCGTGCAGGTGGTGCTGTTTCATATTATTATACGTAGCGAATACATGAATTTTCTGAGTTAATTTGTCGACTTTCTCTTTAACAAGGTTCACTACCTTTTAGGGGGGGGGGGTACGAGAGAGGGCCAGTTTTTTGCCTTTTTTAGGTTAGAAATGCGCACGCATATCCTGTCTGTTAACATCGGAGGACCGTAGTTTCATTTATTTTTAACAAGTTTTTATTAAGTCACTTTCTTGTTCGTGTGTCTGTCGTTCCGGTCGGAATCTTGCAATCGATTTTTAGATCACTTCCCGACATTCGATCAGGGTGAAATTCTGCACACACTCTTGGTTTCGATGACAATGCAATAAAGTACATTCAATACCATATTAAATCCAATATGGCGGCCATAACGGAATGGCAGACTACGTTACTTATTACAAATCTATTAATATGGATATCAAATGAAAGGGAATGGCGAGCAGAATACAATAAGCTATATGAATAGCAGCTGTATGACGTTCCTCAAAATCAAATATGGTGGCTGATAAAAAATGGCAGACCAGCTTTTTTATTATGTACAACCCCATCGATATGGGTATCAAATAAGTAAGCATAGAGAGTAGAATTCAACAAGCTATATGACGTTACTCAAAATCTAAAATAGTAGATTAACTTTTTTTTTAAATCTCGTTTCGTATAGGGAATGAAATAAAAGGGTCTGGCGAGTAGAATAAATTAAAACATATTACTTGACTCAAAATTTAATATGGCAGATGTTTCAAAATGGCAGAATACTTTCTTTATTGCAATACAATCAATGTGGATATGAAATGAAAGGTCACGGCAGATGCACTACGACAAGTTATATGCTGCTACTTGAAATGAAACATAGTGGCC